GACGAGGACGACATCCCATTAAACCCATTGGATCTTGTTTGGGCTAAATGCCGAGGCTACCCTTCCTACCCAGCCCTGGTAAGTGACAACTCCAGGCTAGAATGATCTGCTCACACACATACTCCCTTTGTTAAATTCTGTAACATCTCTACTTATATATTAGTGCGGATATCTTGCATTAAATTTAAACTTAACAACATGATTGAAAGAATATAGATATGAATATTGATGAATAGTGATGAATATTAATTACATTCTTTAAAAATCCAATTCCTGCATTTCTTTTATTTCCTATTTTTTCTCATGTCAATGCCTGCCTTTCTTCAACAAGCAACATCAAATCCATCAAAGAAGCTCAGTCAGTAATCATAGATAATTTGCATTGGTACATTGTTTGTGTTTTTATTTGTATTTTCAGATAATCAATCCCAGAATGCCCCGTGTAGGCTTCACACACAACGGTGTTCCAATCCCTGTACCTCCACTCGAGGTGCTCAACCAGAAAGTCTTTGCTGAAGAGCATCTCTACTTGGTATTATTTTTTGACAATAAGCGCACATGGTAAGTTTTCTGATGAAGCAATTATAATGATTAATTAATGATTACTATGATTGATTATAATTTATATTTATGTTTCATTTGTATCCATCCAAACTGAAGCTAGGCTAAAAACTAATGAATGCCGCATACTGGAAGCTAAATATTTTTGAAAATATAAGACTAACATTTAGGTATCTATGGATTATACTGTGGTGTTGGGTTTTTTAAGCTTTTATGGAAAAGGAACATCATTGTACAGTTTTGTTGGGTCTGCAATGAGAAATGTTGAAAAATTAGAATTTTTTGCTGTTAATTTCCAATGTGATTTTTTCATTGTGTAAACTAAAGTGCTTTGTTTAGTAAAAATGTAAAGGTTATTTTGTAACCTGTCTTCTCATTGGTCAGTCTGTTATCCTATATTCCTTCATTCTAGTCAGATAGAAAGTTTTTATTTGATTTTTAATTATCTGAATTTTCCAATCAAGTCTGTAGTTGTTGTGTTTATTATTTTACCAGGTTTATGATTTGATATTTTATATTGTTTTTAGGCAATGGTTACCAAGGGCCAAGTTAGAACCTCTTGGTGTAGACAGTGGCTTAGACCAAGCTAAGTTAACAGAAGGCCGCACGTCTGC